TGACAGTAAACATTCAGATGACTTTTTAGTTTTTTGATCTGTTATCCTGATTGTTTTTCACAATATGAGGAACACCAAATTTGTAACGGATCGAAAGATTCTGCTCTCCATTTTTCTTGCGATCTTCTAGCTCATTATGAAGTGACTTCAGATAGTCTCTTTGTGTGACTGTTAGATCAGCACTGATGCGTATATTGGAATCTTCAGAAACTTTCCTTTTATTCTTGAGACACAACAGAGCAGTATTACTGTCAGAGAATGTAATTTTCAATGGTCTGGGTTTGCCAGAAGGTTTACCCAGCCGAGTAACCTTTATTTCTGGTGCACGAATTTCAATTTGGTTGAGTAATTCTTGACACAGTTGTGTATCATGCATAATACGTATTTTGTGGTCAACTGACTTGCTCTCCTGAGCATTGTGAACCAGAATATTCTTGGAACGGGCTGCTCTATCCTGGATTTCCATATATACTAGTTCAGCATTGTTTTTATTTACTTGCCTTTCTTCGAGCAAGCAAGTTTTTAAAGATGTGATCTCCGATTTCAGTGTGTCGATCACTTCGACTTGTTCGTTATAGTCGATGATCTAAGAATGTATGCCCTTTGGCGAAACAATGAATTGGGACCCATCAATCAGTTTCCCGACATTTGCATACGATTCCGGAGAGGGGAGCTCGACTTATTCGAACATCAATTGACTAGACATCTTTCAAATAATCGATGATTTAAGTTCGTCTGCAAATCTCTGGACCGATAAACTAGGATATTCTGTATAACTAGATGCTATTTGTATACGAATTCAATGTAAGCATACGTTGTAATAATCGGGCAAACCCGCGCGCGTGCCTCGGTCCGGCGCGGCGCCCCGCACTGCAGGCCAGAGGTGCACCGAAAGCGATCTAGATAATCTGGAAGTCTCATAATCTCACTTCACATGAAACCGGGAGAAAGATTAACTTCCTGGGAGTGATGGGGGTATTCGATGACGCAAATTGCAGATATATTTGTATATATTCATCAGAAATTTACAGCTCAACAAAATTACATGTGTGAGAGGTTTAGTACCAAGAAATTTTTTTGTGTGATTTTATTTTGAAAAACAGGGCTTTGAAAAAATGATAAAAAAAATTTACGACAAAATACTCAAGAGGGATCGAACAGGGAGAAGAGGAGTGGATTATTGCTCATGATCGAAACTCACAATAAATCGAATTGAAATTCTTCCCTGGGGCTTATGGGACTGCTCATCATAGTACTGGCGTTCAAAAAATACATAAAGAATGTTCATTTAATTTGTTGAATGTTTTGGGTATAGTGTGGGGTCTGTATCCTGAACTTTGATCTACATTTTTGATTTTCCCTGGTAGGGGAGGTGGTAAGAAGTGAATAAACCTGTAATATTATGCATTATACAAAAGTAAATGGTTTTTGAGATATTTAAATATCGGATCTCCGATAAAAGAGAAAAACATTATTGAATGCCTAAATCATTACGTGCTACACTCTACCCGGCTGACGCAGCAAATCATTGTTCAGATATGAAAATTGATTCAGCAAAAAAAAAAAGAAAATACTTCAAAACCGGGATTCATATTTCTGTCACAATGTGACAATTTGACGCATGATCGCCATAAGAGTGCTGTGTGTAAATGATATCGCTAGATGCTGTAGAGCTGTATTCGTCATGATAATCTCAACGCGATAATGAAACAAAATATAGTGTTCTAGTAAAAAAAACAAAACTAACCCATAGTTCATTTTTTATGAACAGCCTGTGAATTTTGTAATAACAATGAAAAATCTCTTAGGAAAATCATTTTAATAGGTTTTTGAAATTTTAAAATCGGCTCAGGAACAACTAAGTTACAATGGGAGATATTTATGGCGAACCACCCTGTACGGAACGTGCGAATTGTATGCAAACCATCATCTCATGTATACTGTGTGGTCCACTAACCATGGTCAAAATTTGAACATTTCTTCGATTATCGATTATTTGGAGGATATCCAGTCAAATGATGTTCGAATAAGTCGAGCTCCCCTCTCCGGAATCGTATGCAAATGTCAGGAAACTGATTAATGGGTCCCAATTCATTGTTTCGCCAAAGGGCATACATTCTTAGATCATCGACTATAACACTGAAAAATTGCCACTTCCGGTTCGTATGCCGCCCTTGGGGACTGACCTAGGCGTATGCAAACCGGCAAGCGCCCCAATTTTCGTGAGATAAGATCATTGCACTTCATTGCCGAGCTTCTTCTTAAACAAAATTTTGAACTTTTTTCCAACCGAAAGATGAGGTCAGGGCCGAAGCAAGGACTGAGTTGCGACTCTCCGAGGCACTCCTTCCTGTTATCTCTGGTTTAGTTTAAAACTAACGACATTATGGTAAAATACGGTACAAACATATTGAAATATGTTTCCCAAAAGGGGGTAAAATACAGATTACATTCTGTTAAGCAGCCATTGTCGCTGCAACATGTCATGTTTAAGTAAAATTTTAATTGAATAAACTATCTTGCACGAAATACAACTCTTCCCTTCTTTGGTATAAATATATTTGACAAAATAAAGAAGATTAAGTTCAACTGTCAATGATTCTTAATTGACTCAGCTGTTAGGTACCAAATAAAAAACTATAGTAATTGTATGAGAAAACTATGAAAATGAGACAAGATGTCAATGTTACAGGAGTAGATGTTTCTTGAATTCCTTTTTTGAATTCATCAATCCTATTGATCAGCTTCAAGTTATTTGATAGTGAATTGTATTGTATCATTCCATTGTGATAGATGGATTTATCACCAATCTGATTTAATTTTCTTGACAGAAAAATGATTTGCTTGTCTAGTTTTATGGTGGTGGTGACAACTATTGATTTGAAAAACCAAATTTGAATGCATTTGACAATATTCAACTGAATGAATGAATGTTAATGATTTGAATTTATATAGTAAATCTATATCTAATAACTCTCTTCTTCTGTAAAGGTTCTAAGTAGGTTCCAAATTATTTAGTATGTAGATCAGGTGTAACAGGATCATGGTACACCCCCTTTTCCTCCTTTAGTATAAGAGATGAGTGATTGACATTTGGAATGACCCATAACTTCATGTTATGACATCAATAGGTTTCATTTTCCACTTACAGGTTCATCGGATGTGGTAATAACTTTTGATTTTCAAAAGGAACACCCTGTATATCATTGCATTTTAGAATTCTGCATCATTTTCTATATCCAATGATACCACATAAGTGACATTTTAAACTTCAGTGAAGATTTCAATTTCAATTTGTATCTTCCATCTGAGTATGCCATGACTATTCTGATCGACCAAAAAAGGGAAGATTTGTATTTCCTGCAAGATTCTGATCGAGTCTGATGCACTCATATCGACAGGTGTAATGCTAAAAAAAATTTAATCCGGTCAAAAATTTCAAATGTCTCAATTTATTAGCAATTCAAGCTCATCAAAGTGGTTTGATGTACCATGTTTATGTTACACCCGGTATACATTTGATAATTTTATTTTGAAGAGTTTTGAGAAGCTTCATAATTGATAGTTTTGTTGATCCTCATATATAAATCAAATAGAAGAGAAGTATATATATATTTGGGACATTTTATAGGAACTTGATTTGATACCCTGAAAAGTATACCTATTATTGGAGTTTTTTTTTTTCAAAGTATTTCAATATGTTTTGACCATGACAAATTTTGATCTATGTACAGCCCAAGAAACTTGATATTATTTTAATATTTGATGCATGCAATTGGAAACTTGAACTCATTATATCTTGATTTTTTTGAGAGTAGTAGATCTATGGGGGTTGATGAATCGTTTTTACTAAAATACTTTCAAAACCCCATGAAAATATTTTGAAGGATACCAAGAGCAATATTATCATGATAGAAGCGCTGGACCTACAGAAAATTTCAACATAAATAAAAGTGCATTAATATGGAAAGATAATGTTTGGGAACCAGCAAGAGTTTTGAATAATTTTGGATGCATGATGAATTGACATTCATCATACAGGACATGGAAAAAAATTCTGAATTGAGAAAACCTAATCACGAATCTGCGATTGAGGTCTATAAAAATAAAAAGTTTCTATCGTTCAAGTTTGAACCCCTTGATTGGGAGAAAGTATTGAAAAGGAATATTCTCAGATATATTCATGAACACAAAAAAATGGATATATATATACCGGGTGGCTACGGAAGTATTGCCTATGGAATATCTTAGTTATTGTATGAAGTAGGTTTGTGAAATTTGGAGCGTCGATATAATGCCATAAGAGCTAGAATTTGAGCATATTGACATGTCGAAGTTAACTTCCGGTCCGACCGGAAGTAACATCAACTTTCTTATTTTAAATGGAAACCCTATTTTTTTTTCTTTTCGCTTTATTCAGCATTCAATTCCCTTTCTAATGACATATCACAAGTTGGTATCTAACCAGAAACTAGATCAGAAAAAAATTATTATTGAAATTCACCAAGTAGGCCGTGGAAGCAAAATGAAATATAATACATCCCGGTCATATTTGGTTCAAAATGAGTACGGAAGGGGCATGAGACGCATGTGCAGTCATTTGAAAAACTCAAAATGAGTAAGGAATAGAAGCGACACATATTATGAAATGAATGGTAATTGTATTATTAATACTTATAATGCACCTCATAATACATCAAGAACAAGTGTAGTCTCAAATGATACGGAAACCATTAACTATACACTATGTACCTATTAATAATCAACCAAAAACAAATGTAGTTATAGAGAATGCGAAAACCCCTACGGAAACACACATGGGAAACATAACGATAATAATTCTGTTACAACTACTCGAAGTGGGCATGTCATGAAAGCCCCATTGTGAACAATCATTGTTCTATTATGACTAGTACAACAATCTGAGATATTTCCAAAACTATCAAAGTGATCCATTTCATGGAATGGTGATGAAATGAATCGTATAAGTACACACTCACCATCAAATTCAAACATCTGATCACTTTCATGACCTTCATCAGAAATGAGAGGTTTAGTCCATTCAGCGCCAACACCAGGACTTGGTAAAAGATCAATGGCTGATGGTGACGCTCCACATAGTTTTCTCTGTGATTGGACAGAATATGTATCTCTGTCACATCCTTTACCAATGTGCCTGAAATCAATAATAATGTTTGTCATCACTATGTTCAACACTCATCTATTCCTGATGAGGTAGTATGGCATTTGACTGGACAATAAATATTTTTGACTTGTCAGTAAATAGAATGATCATACTATTTGTGAAATGGTCCATGCCAGACAGATTAAGTATTACTATATATTTTATCACCCAAGATGTGTTGGGAATTCGAACATTGAAGGTTCTAAACCCAGAACAGTTTCGAGATCACAAAGTGGATTTTACCTTCAAAAATATTTAAAAGGATGACAGTACGTAGATTATAATATGTCATTATGTTGAGGTTTTTAATGTCACAACAATACAAATACTTCATCACTGTAAACTTTTGTATAGATCATGGTAATATAAAATATAGAACGAGCTCATCGGACTGAACTAAGTAACTAGTACAACATTATTCATTAAAATATAAATTATTAGTTAATACATGTAGGTATACACAATAATTGACACAATTCATGACAGTTCTAAAACTATTCACTTTGCTAAGAATTTATCCGTACAATAAAATGCATTGTCAAAGAAATATGATGTTAGCTCATCTTCAAATTTGGTTTTACTTTTTACGTCACGGATGAGATTCAGAAAGTTGTAAAATTTTATTTGTCGATAAGTGTGTGGGTTTTGACTGACTGCCAGTTTGGAATAAGACTGATGTAGCTGATTGCGACCACGTGTTTCATAATTATGAATAGAACGATTTTCTGTTACGAATTCATTAGGTATCAATTATATATTAAACCAGGAGATATACAGGGTGTTCCTTAGAGACATGCTAATATTTGAGGGGGTGATTCTCTGACTCATTTCAAGAAGAAAACTCGATATGAACGTATGTCCTAGAAGTCTTAACTTTTGAGATACAGGGTGATGAAGTTTTGAAAAATATTCCGTATTTTGAGATAACAGACAATATTGTATACATCTTTTTGAAATTTGGTACACGTCTTTTATGCATCAAGGTGCATTTTCTAATGTACGAAAATTTCCATTTTTTCTACCAGTGGCATCGTTACGGGAAAATTATTGTTTATATTTTACTCGACAGTGGGCAACTACAAAAAATTTTCAAATTACATACAATGCTATGAGAGGCTATTTAATTATGTACAAAAACGATCCTCCTTTTGACAATCGATAGAACGCTTCGTTTTCGAGAAAAAACGAATCCAGACTTCAAATTTTGATGTTTGAGTACTTCATTCAGAACATCCATTACTGGACAACCACCGTATGTATTATTTTGAAATTCATATACCGATTTAGTCACATAGCAGACTGAATTTTGCCATCACGAAAAGCTATACAGGGTGGACAAAAAAATAATCTATGCAACATTGACACCCTGTATCTCAAAAGTTAGGACGTTTACGACATATGTTCATATGAAGTTTCATTCTTGAAATGGGTCGAAGAATCAGCCCCTTGAATATTAGCATATCATTGAGGAACACCCTGTATACAGGGTGACCCATAATAAAAGTTCGTATGCGAAAGGAGGTGATTGTGCAGATGAAAGTAAGAAAAATTGTTCCTATCAACATGTGTCCGAAAATGCTTCCTAAGGGCGCTAGAGCTCTTTGAAGGTAGGTTTTTGAATACAGTTTTCTCTAATTATCTTTTTTATCATACAATTTATAATTACAAAATTTGGTGCCTAGGTGTGGTTCGATCGAATAAATTGTTTCCGAACATGATTTAATATTCAGGGAGATGCAAAACTCGTTTTTTTTTTCAAGACTTCGATTTGATTCTTCATACACTTTCACATGAAGAAGTTATTCTTACTAGAATGCCGTTAAACGAACTGTTTTCGAGAAATGGGTCATTTTTCATTTTGATGTCTATAAATATTCACATTGTGAATAGGTTTGTGAAGTTTAGTTAATTGCTATTGCGGATATCTTCTCAACGAATCATCATCATTATTAACTCTAGTAAACCAAAACTAACTGGAAATGTAAAATTTCCATTATCGAGTTCTAATTTTTTTATCAAAAGAGCACACGCTCAAAATCATTGTGATTTTTTTTATCAAAATGAAAGACTACACTATTCTCGAAAAAGGCTGATGAATTTTGACTTGTTTACATGTAGGGTAATTAAATTAAGGTCCAGCAAAATATTGATTTTTTTGTGTTCACGATCTGCCTTATCAAATGCCCTGTTCCAGATTACAGCATTCAAGAGAACCGTTGTATCATAAGCATAGCAAACCAATTACACATCTGCATCAATGGAAATTAGACTATTGATGTAAATTTGAAATAGAATGGGTCCGAGAACAGTTCCCCGTGGGACACCATAATCCACTACTCTTGGTTCACTGTAGGTAAAACTCATACTTACTTTTCATTCAAGGATATAGGCACAGACAATTTTCCAATTTTATTCATACACTGTTGTACTTTTCAAATTTTTTTATAGAATTTAATTAGTTGATGAGAAATAGAGTGTGTACGAGATTTGAGCTAATGGACTGTATAAAGTATGAGATTGACAATTATAACAATTTTCGATACAAGAGAGAGAATCCACTTACCAACAATTTCTTGTTTCTGAGGTACACACACTTGTCGCGAGCCGATATATCAATGCTGATATCGACTGATTTTTCGGGAGCATTTTTGCATTCTCCCGGCTCGGTACCATTACCAGTGGCGTTACAATCTCTTGTATATAAAGGTACGCGAGCAAAATATGTTATATGTATAACGGATGAGTTTGATGAATGAGTGTATATAGGTGCGGCCGTAACATACCGGCCACCAAAAATGGATATTTTTAAATGTGGGGTGACCATAATTTAACATGAAGCGATGAAGACTTACTTGACTAACATAAATCATTAAACTATCTTAAGCTAATTTGACAAAACAACATAATAGGTAGCGCGAAGAAGGTTCAACAGTTAGGCAGAGGGCAAACTTTGCTCACCGGCCTTTTCAAAGTACCATGAGAGGTCTTTACAGTAACCACCCTCGCGACACCGTCTGCACCAGCGTGGATGTGAGTTATCCTACCACGAGACCACTTCATGGGAGCGGTGAATTCCTCTTTGAGAAGAACTACTGTACCAATTTCGATTAAGGTAGATGGTTCAATCCACTTACTGCGCTGTATAAGAGTGTGTAAGTACTCCTTGTGCCATCTAGCCCAAAAGTCTTGCTGAAGGCGTTGTACCAGTTGCCATCTTGACAGACGATTTAATTGAACGTCGCCAAGATTGGATTCGGGCACAGAGTTTAGGGGTGCTAATGTTAAGAAATGACCTGGTGTGAGTACTGAGTCATCGTTGGGATCAGAACTCACACTGCACAGAGGCCTAGAATTGAGCATAGCTTCTATTTGAGAGATAACTGTACACAGTTCCTCGAAAGTTAGAGTCTGATCCCCAATGACTCGGTAGAGATGAGTCTTGGTAGATTTTACTCCGGCCTCCCAGAGGCCGCCAAAATTAGGAGAGGAGGGAGGATTAAAGTGAAATTTGATTCCATCCTGACCTGCAGCATGTTGCATGGTCTCGGACAGCTCTCTTGCTGCTGCTTTGAAATTTGTCCCACAATCAGAGTAGATATCGGAACAGAGACCTCGGCGAGAGACAAAACGTCTAAGAGCAGCAAGAAAGGTGTCAGTCGACAAATCTGATGCAAGTTCCAAATGGATGGCTTTAGTAGCCATACAGCAAAAAACGCAAATATACGATTTCAGTACCTTCGCACCACGCATTCTAGTGGGAGTTGTCTTGAATGGGCCACAGAAATCGATTCCCACATGGGAAAAGGGCTTCAATTGAGATATGCGAGACTTGGGGAGATTACCCATGAACTGCTGAATGGGTTTTGGATTGAGACGGAAACATTTCAAACATTTTGAAATATTCTTTCGAATTGCCCTCTTGGGAGAAAGAATCCAGTAGCGTTGCCGTAAAAGAAAGTGTAAGGTTTGGAATCCAGGATGACAAAACTTGGTATGAGTATGTTCAATCACTAGAGCCGTGAGAGTATGAGAACTTGGTAATAGAACCGGGTGTCTCTGATCAATAGGAATATCGGAATATAGCAGACGACCGCCTACTCTGAGAATTCCATTTTCGTCGAGAAAAGGATTGAGTTTGCGAAGATATCTTGGTAAAATTTTATTATGTCGAATTCGAGACAACTCAGATGTGAATGCATCCTGCTGTGTAATTTTGATAATTACGTTGAGAGAACATTCCCTTTCTGAAGTTAGAATGGGACCCGCATTTTCGGGACGTGAACCTGAACTAAATCTTGCCTGGCCAGTGCGTAAGTATATAAACCTTAAAATATAACTGACAACGTTTTGGATTTTCAAGAGCGATGAGAATCGTGATAATAACGTGAGTATAGGATTTGCGTCCACAGTGACAGTGTAGATAATTTTACGTTATTCCTCACTGATATTCGCGAGGATCGAGGGATCTACTGAATTATCCGGCCAATATTGACGAGGGAGTGTTAACCATGGTGGACCGGACCACCACAAAGAGTTGGTAACAAGTTCTGATGGGAGCAGTCCCCTGGATCCAGGATCTGCTGGGTTGTCTTGAGAGGATACATGCCACCATAAAGAGGGGGGAACCTTTTCTTGGATGATAGTGACTCGATTGGCGACAAAGGTCGTCCACTCATGTGGCGAGCTACGTAACCATTTGAGGACCACCGTCGAGTCAGTAAAAGCAATGGTTGCATTTACCTTGAAAGAAACATGTAAAGCTTCTTGGACAAAGTTCAATAAATTAGAGAGAAGCAGAGCAGCACAGAGTTCGAGTCGTGGTACAGATATTGTTTTGAGAGGGGCTACTCGTGATTTCGCACATAAGAGATGAGTTTCGTATTCGCTACCCGAGAAAGTCCTGAGGTAGACTACAGCACAGTATGCCTTTTGTGAAGCATCACAAAATCCAATAATCTCACGAGAGATAGTATTTGGAGGAAGAATTCGTC